AAATTTGTTTTCCTACATTTTTGTCACCTGACCTCATGCTTGACTCACTAATGGATTCACAGTGGCGTCATTAAATACAGATTTGAGTTCTTTATAGAATTTGAATCTGAGCAAACATTTATTTTTTTGGCAAAATTTTAAATGTGACACGTGGAACAAAAGGATTTTAGATAAAATATCATAATTTTCTGCTTAAATATGGCTCATTTTCCCAAATAAACAGCAAGTCACATGAGTAGTTCAACAACCATTGGAAAGTTCAAAGTCTTGTTCTTACTCTGCACATTATTTGCGCTACACTCACACTTTTCTACCCAGACATATTACACTTATTGAACATTTTGCATTTTATATTTTTTTATTTATTTTTGCCTATTTATCAGTATTTATGGTGGCGGTAACTCTTTATCTTTGGGCTGTAACAACCAAATTTCCCCTTGGGGATTAATAAAGTAGGTCTATTCTAATCTATTCTATATTCTTGAAAATATATATATATATATCCTTGAAAAACAAATCTGACTGACTGACAATTGACTGACTGAATGATTATTATTATTATATTAATATATTAATATAATAATTATATTATATTATTATTATATTGTACAAAATATATGTTATATTGATTTCTTTTTTTAAAAAGTGAGCTTTTACAATATTGAATTTCCCTTCTCGGATAAATAAAGTATTTTTCATTTCATTCATTTCATTCTAAAATCTGATAATTCTTGGTTTTTACAGATAAATTATGTAATTTTATAAATCAAACATGCCTTTGAGATATTCTGGTGAGTTTTGGGGTTAAACATGAATCCCCAGTGTGTCTAGGGAGCATCCTCTTGTTTCTTTCTTTTCTATAAAGTCTGAATAAGCAGTTTACAGCCTGTTGTGATGTCACTAGAGGATAAGCCCCGCCCCTTTTCTGGTACCGCCTCCTCAGCAGAAGCAGAGGAATGTGGGGCCTTTTTAAAGCTACAGACAGTGAAACAGTCTCTTCTGAACAGGGCTCACACCAGGGATAGCAAAGACATGGTAGAATTAACAATTCACATTTTTGCTTTGANCAAGAATACAGTGTGTGCTTCAGGGAGTCCAGCTTCACACACTCAAGGACAAAACAGGAACTGTGCATAGCAATTATTTTTCCCTTTTCACACCTAACAAAACAAGCAGAACCACCGCGTTCCCCAGCAGCGCCAGGATAGAGATGATCCAGATGAGGACCCGCAAGAGGACGCTCTTCATGATGTCCTCACAGGGGTTGAATTCATCCGACAGCGGGATGCAGGTGATGGAGGAGGAGCTGTTGCAGTATTTCTTGTAGAAGGGAAGCTCAGCCTTCGCCCCAGGGTTGGTGCACATCTTGTGCCACCTGGATCTGGCACACGACAACACACACAAAGTGCACATACATGTGAAAAAGCGTTCATTCTTCAGTTTGTAGCAGCAAAACCTGCACTTCAGGGCCCCGTGGTAAAGTCTGGTAATTGACCAGCAATGGAGTCATAATGAGATATTAGGAGGAAAAGAAAAATTAAAACCTACAGTCAGTCCCAGGAGAAGAATGTTGTGTTTTAATGAGCTTCAGAGTTGCTGGGAGGCATTTTTTTTTATTTTATTTTTTTAAATCTTTGGACAGAGCCAGGCTCGCTGGTTCTCCCTGCTTCCACTCTTCATGCTGAGCTAAACGAACCAGCTCCCGTTCTGGTGTCACGTTTAGCAGACCGACGTGAGAGCGACGTCAATGTTTCAGGTAAGTCTCAGCAAAAAAGTGAACGAGAATATTCTCCCAAATCTTCTTCTATTCTCTAGAGAGGCGAGATTACACAAAATCTATTTTTCATAGCTTTTAACCCTCTGAACCCTGAGACATTTCTGCATGTTCACTGTTCTCCTGCACCTCTGTGGAAACAGCACAGCCGTGGATAGAAGTAGAGACGATTCAAACATGTCTTCTGTGCTGTATGATAAAGTTATGATGCCATAAAGACAACAACAACAAAAACCTACACCCAAAGATGTCACCAATACTGTAGAAAAATGCCAACCGTGTATATTATAGATAAT